ACTGTTAAAACTGAGCAGCGGTGACAGTTAATAAGGTACATTTGCAATGTATGCGTTAGCACAAACACTACATGCATACAGTGTAAGGACAAGATTTGTACAATCTTGCTGCCACGGAAAATCTTACGTGTGCATGAGGCCCTATAGAGAACGTTAAGAAATGTTACTTTTGCCAAGATTTACCTTAGGTCTTGAATTCTTCCTGAAAAATATCAGTGTACTTCCTGCATGAGATCATCTAAGGCACTGCTGCCTCTGTCTGCTAATTTTAAGAGTGATATTTGGCAATGTCATTACTTTGCTATTCACTATTCTCCTTGCTTCTGCTTCACCCATTTTCTTGATCTGTGCTTCCTCCACCTGCTGTGTTTTGAACATTACCCCACTAGTCATTATATAGGTCATATATAGTCAGTGCATGCAAGCGAGAACATTTCCACATATTTTTAGAAGGCTTACCCAAGAGGAACCTTAGTGGTTTATTGTTCCTCATAATATTAAAGAGTTTGATGTTCAGGGATTTTCATGATCTGCTTATTTCCTAATGTTGCTGAAAAACATAGCAGGAACATGTCCTCATTCTGCCATATGTAAACCTTGGCCTATCAGATATCCTTTAAGAAGATCAATAATGTATAGTAGCCATATGGCCTTGGACATAAGGAAACAAAAGCCAGCTCAAGATGGCGGCCTCCACACAAGGGCAGAAAGTATGGTAATTTAGTCCTTTGCCCGGTCTTTTTTGGGGACTGCCTCCACAGGTCTTTCAATGGGACATAAGTAGGTCAGCGGAGAAACAGAGAATAGTTTGGAGAGTTTCTGCATATGAGGTCAATGGTATAGGTGGGGAAAGTGTTTTGAAGGCAAATCATAATAAATGTTATACTCAGATTGACTGAAATCCATGAAAAGAAGTACAGAGAGAAGCAGCAGATGCAAAATAATTCTTGAATCTCTTAAAACCTTGAAGTTAAGAACACAGATGTTTTCTATCTGTTCAAAATGTTTTACTATATTTAAATGTGTTAAAACCCAAAATAAAAACACCTAACAAGTACTGGTTGATTCTGAGAGTTTTGAAGTGTGGCTTCGTTCCTAGTTTTTCTGGTGTCATATGTAAAAATAAAACCTAAGATGACGGCTGCTGGAATCTAACACCTCCTTGTTAGTCACTAACACAACCCAAAGGTTTAAACCTAATTTTAGGAGACAGCTTCACTAGAAGGGAATCTGAACTGAACAGTTTTATCATAGATACATGGACAGATGTTTACATGAAAGGCAGTTGTGAATATGGGTGGGTTTATAATATGGGTGTGCTCATTTTCGGTCCCATAATATAAACCCATACAATTGCCCAGAGGTTGCCTAAGTGGCCGATAGGGTGTATAACGCTAATTATAGCCACCATAGTGCATCCCTAAAGGAGCAGCATTGTCATCCTAGGACAGGACTACAGAATACTTCCCCCCTCTCCTCTGCAATATAAGTAGGAATGGTTCTGTAATTCACAGAGGTGAACTAGAAAGGGCTGATAACACTGTATGAGATAACAGTACAGAGTGTACAAGACAGCACTTAATTTATGGCACTGATGTAACCACATACTTTGAGAAACGTTCATTTGCCAATGGTTTTTTATTGTTTATCTCTGCAATATAATATACTGTACATGGATGTAGTTATTTGTTTAAAAAGGTCACTGCTTTTGAATGGAACTAGAGTACATACTGGGATTTGACTTGATTTCTCACAATCCTCTATACTAATTATTGGGATACGTTGGGGCAGCACAAATAGCTAATCATATGTGCGACATGTACCTGTGCTGACAAGGACCATGTTAACAAGAACAGACAGATGGTCACATATGTCAGGTCACCAGGCTGGCTGTAAAAAAACAAATCCTTTACCAAGTAAAGCAACTTGTGTGTATTTAGTGGTTTGCCTGGAGTTGAGCTTTAACTCTTCAAGAAACACCAAAAACAGGTGTATTGGTTTTAGGATGACTACCTCTTTAAAAAGTACTTGAAAAACGATTCTACCCAAATTTTAATGGGTGCATGTTCTACTACTAGGGTTATGACATTTTCTAGTACCCATTTTGGGGTCTTGAGTTGGTAATGGATGAGCATCATTCAGGTGCTCTAAAGGATGATTCTGGAAACCGCGCTCAATTGAAAGTATCTGGGCTTATCAATATATAGTGCTCATTACTGCCAATCACAATTCCCTGATAATGATGTGTTTAAAGAGAACGCTTCTTTAGGGCTGTCATTCACTGCTGCATAAACTTTGATCATCTCCACATCTTCATATATGAACACCTTGAGGGTTAATTTGTTGTTGGCAACTGTGTTAAAATCTCTTAGGAGTTTTGGGCAGCAAAAGGGTCACCTACATTCTTCTGCTTTAATAGTCAAACTAGCATAAAAAAAGAGCCAATGAAAAGCTACAAGCAGTTTTATTTCAGTGGGTAATAAAATTAGCAAAATATCTTTAAAAAAAGGCATTTCCTAAAAAACAGCCATTGTGCCGCCACCACCACCACCACCCTACTCTTATGGACACCTTTAGTTCTTTTGCTGTTGGCAATATATATCTCCCCAGCAGGAACTATTAAAACCTCAAGCCTGAGAAACATCTCTCAAGCTCCTAATAAAATCCAGGCCTTCATGCACACACTCCCTTCCCTTTATGAGCATTTCTGAATGTAAAACATGTACACATTAAATTCCCCTGGATTCCTTTTTCCTTGTTAATACAAGCTCTACACTGAAATCATTCTGTTCTGTGGGATTATTTAAGAAGTGTTCTGCACTGCAGTGCAGCTGTACATCAAACTCCGTGATAGCTTAATCCTAGCACTTTCCACAGTGCTTGAAATACAAGGACCGCTGCCTCCGACTGTTTTCAGCCAGATCAGATGAATATCTTTTGTCTATGGGAGCAGCAGACTCCTGCAGGCTTGCCTCCCTTAGTGGGCAAGATCAGTTGGAGACGTCTAAAAACCTTACTATTGTTCCTCTCAAGATAAAATACACCAGCAGCTATCTGACTGTTCCCCATATCCTACCTGCCCTCAGTTAAACATGCATGTTTGAACAAGCGGACAATACATGTTTAGAAAACCACATATCAGCAGACGTGCCTTTGGGCAATCAAATTGAGCCCCCCACACATGCTACGTCATTAGTGTCCCTTAAATGCGTGGCTTTGTAGTTTCTTTTTTTCTATTGACAGTGTTGTTTTACCAGAGCTCTTGTCATTTTCCCTCTAACAATATAGGGATGGCCATATACAATGTATTTTCTAGCAAACCAGTTAAATAGATCACCATCCCTGCCATGTAATTAGAAATATATAAACTGTTGATGGTAGTAGATTGCCTTGATCTGTCCAGTGGTTTTCATCATCTGGTTGAAGTTCCTAGAAGATCGTCCTGTGGATGATTGTCCTATGTATGTCCAGAATAACAGACGCTAAACATTTTAACAACAGATAATTTCATTCTACACTTTGTTGCTGTGACATCTATTTTTAGATTAATTTGAGTGAAATGTGATCCCAAGCCTAATCTTACCACACTGCTAAGCATTTGCTGAACTGTTTGGTCATAGACACCACTCAGCAGTATACTGTGTCAGTGTCTGCTTCAATGTAAAATTTATGTACAAAACCCACAGACATCTCAACAACACCAGCTAAACAGTGTGGAATGGCACAGGATTAACCCCTAGTTTTCCATCAGTAGCTGCACAAAAGAATCCTTGGATTATGCATTTCAGTTTGAATCATGTTAAAGATTCAAAGAAGAGCAAATGTGAAAAATGGACTGTATTACACCAACAAAAATAATCAGTGGTATAGTAGGTAGTGTAATTTTAGCAATCGTGTTGCTCTAAAATGGGCCTTCCACTCCGCTGAAGTGTGCCACATCTCCCCCTAAATTAAAAGGAGTACCTCTCCTCCAGCTTCTGGGGATGTAGGGGGTGATGTCATCCTCCTGCTGATAAGATCCCAGGGAATGCTGAGAAATCTTGAGTGTCTTCTCAGCAAGATTTGGAGTATACGCCATTCCCCAGATTTTGCAAAATAAGGGTGACCTCATCCTCATCTAGGCTTCCCCTGGAGGAAAGGTAAGGATACTACCTACATTTGTAATCCCCTAAAGGTTTGTTTTGTACAAGTTTATGCTGTTTTTAAGCAAAGAAGATGCTTAAAACCAGACCTTGCATTTTAGCTGCAAAGCCCCCTTTAAGCTGCTATACAAAGGGGCCATGCACATTGGAGAGCGGATACTGTGCAGGTTTAATCCACATATTCTTTTTGGTTTTTAGATTTATGCACATTAACATATAAGGGCACAAAGCAGAGAGGTACTGCAGATGCAAGTCCACAGACCTCCTACATTAGGTTATCTCAGAAAATGATATTGAAATGTATTCAGCAGGGTCCATCATGATTTCTTGGTCAAAAGTACCTGATGCTCTCTGCTTAAGCTCACAGAAATGAGGATCTCCACTCCAAACTTGCACTGGGCTACGATCACCTCATGTGTATGGACATCTATAAACAACTTTACATAGGAACGACTTTACAAAAAAAACTACCACTGAAAACAACAGACGAGCTGCTGAAAGTAAAAAGGGCAAAGTCTGACTTTCCACATTTACAGCCTAACCATGTAGGGCAAAGTAACGGTTTTATTTACTTGTCATTAAAAGCCTTGTGTAAGTTACAAGTCCATCTGCCCAATGCTTGCACAGGGCTTAGGGCCCTACTATGGAGAACACTTTTAGTGACTAGGACGCAATGTCATGATTCTGGTCAGCCAAACAATCGTTGTACACACAGCACAGAAATGACCAGCTTTCAAATCTATGTATTGCCATACAGTTAGTTAATCAAATCTGCATGTTCCAGTGAATACGTCTCACAATCTGCTCACCCAAGAGAACTGGGAAAGATTATGGTTATATGCATGTAACACCGCTCACCTTATCTCCTTTCCTGACCGTCCTCGTTGTGAGTTTGCCGATGGCCTTCTTAGCTGCATCTCCAAGCCGTCGCTGTGAAAACACATTGAGAAGATAATTGGACTGGAGAGAAGAAGTATATGTGCAAAGAAACATTTCAACGATATCAACTTTTCAAGAGTATTTTTAATTCACTCTCCAAAACAAAGTTAAGTGCGGACACCCGGACCCGCATGGATGTACAAGTTCTGGTGTGCTCAGGACAGCGTATAGCCGCGTCCTCCGATAGGGAAGAACAGACTGCTGGTGCACAATTGGACACAGCACCTGTCCCTCCTGGGATCGGCCCATTTACGAGGGCAGCACAGACATGCCCCGTCTGAATAAGGCCTTATACTTGGTGTGGAATTCAAGTGCCAGGATCTTCCAAACCCTCCTACAAAAATGTCTAATATCCAGCTATTTTTGTACACATAATTAAATACAGCTTTTGTTTTCAGGCCACGGAGGACAATTGCACTTTTAAGCTTGCTTTTAGAAATAAAGGCTGTAAGCAACGGTGCCTACACACATTCCAATCTAACCATATTTATAAAAACAGGGCCCATTACTGGCCATAGTTGAATTGCATTTAGTTTCTGGTAAAGGTACTGGACTAGTTGAAATATTTTGGATTACCATCAATTAGTCTGTAGGAAGGTGGTACAGTATATGCAATATAGAATTTGTTTTAAATTCATTAATTTTTTTACAGTATGAGGAGAAAAATTAGCTAAATGAAGATTCATTAAATAAAAGGTACAAATGTGATTTTAATGGGCATTATAACATGAATAAAAATGTTTATATGCCTAGTTTAAACAGTCAGTCCATGCAAAATTTATTTTAATAATTTATAACTGTGTCCGGTCCATCTGAGAGCTTTGAATGCTTCTGTCCACCTTTGCATGTCCAAGTCACTACTGCTGCATTTTCCATAATATAAAAAAACCATAAAATATAGTAAGAAGAGTTCACAATGGTCAAAGTAGGTTTGCAGACCCACATCAAGTGCAGAGATCTCACTGAAAGTCTCCAAGAGATATAATAAACTATCAGGTGGTTTTACTTTGCAGCGTCTACCAAAAACTGGAATTTAGCTTGGTGGACTGACCCTTGCAGAAAATAAAAAGGCCTCATTCAGTGATATGCATGAAAAAATTTTGGGATCAGCACCAAAAGGAGACACCAACCCCTGAATAATTTACAACGAAAGAGAGTGGGGCTTTTTAGGTGACTTCTAGACAATGCAATGAGATGCAGCTAGACATAATGACACGTAGCTCATTTCATAATAAATACATATTTAATAAATTAATACAGATTAATAGCCTGGCTAGCAAACATTGAATTCATAAAACGTAACACAATAATTTATGACAAGACCACATTACATGTATAATCAGCATAACACCTCCAGGATCCCTTACAGATTTGTATTGTGCACAATGGCAATAATTAATATTCTTTAGCATTGAGTACATTATAACAATGTCCATAGTTAATTGGTCAAAAATATTGTCACATATTTCATAATGTTCCATATTTATTCTGACAAATCTGTACTTGTCCATTCTTCGACGCGTTTCGCCGTAGCTTTATCAAGAAGTTTATAGAGGTGGCCGTATATCAGAGATTTCTGATGACGAGCAAATTCGCACCTAGGGGAGTTCCTCCACTCAGCCAGGAGATAAGGAGAGGTAGAGGTGGCCTGGGAGCACATCTTATGAGGTATTTCAGCTTCTCAGATATCCCGAGTCAACTTGACTCTCTCCAAATTCACAGGTCTCCCCTCCTCCTGAATTACCCACCGCAGACACACAGGCAGTCCATAGCGTTAGCGTGTGATGTCTGCGGTCGGGGCGAGAGGAAATATGGAACATTATGAAATATGTGACAATATTTTTGAGTCTTGACCAATTAACTATGGACATTGTTATAATGTACTCAATGCTAAAGAATATTAATTATTGCCATTGTGCACAATACAAATCTGTAAGGGATCCTGGAGGTGTTATGCTGATTATACATGTAATGTGGTCTTGTCATAAATTATTGTGTTACGTTTTATGAATTCAATGTTTGCTAGCCAGGATATTAATCTAGATTAATTTTTTAAATATGTATTTATTATGAAATTAGCTACGTGTCATTATGTCTAGCTGCATCTCTTTGATTTGTCTAGAAGTCACCTAAAAAGCCCCATTCTCTTTGGTTGTTATCAGTGATATGCATGGTCAGAACAGTAGTACACAATCACTGTACAAACAACAAAGTAGTTATTTTGTAGAATTAAGAACTTTTTTTTTCTTCAGAAGAAACAGTTCTAGCTCTAAATCTGCTAAATAAACATTGCTCCTGTGCTAAAGACACTAAGCAAGTGTTGTTCTAAACTGGACCAATCAACTCTGAATGTCCTCATGGGCAACCAGCCCTTACAGGTTTCAAACCTTGTTTTTCTTTCTACCTATTAATGTCCACTAAAACTTCCTTCTGACAAGAGATTATAGACAGGTAGTTTAGATCATCCTGACATTCAAACACCAGGGGATCTCAGAACAAAGTTATTCTTTGTTATTGCTTTGAAAAATGTTCTTCAATAAAGAAAAAGTGACAAAGGTTTAAAGAGGCAAAAAGATCAATCTGTAGTCAGGCTTAAAGATCATCTTGTAGATGAAACCTTGTGTGCCATATGAAAAGGCCAAACACTAGTGTGTCCTATCAAAAGTAATGTAGGTCACCCATAGTTGGTTTGTAGCATTGAGTTCCGTGATAAAGGATTAATCTATTTTCGGGAAAATTGCCCCAGTTTAATTAAATGGACACTAAGCTCAGGAGTTAAATCTTAAAAATGCATTCAAGTACCTTAACTATTAACAAAAATGTATCTTATTTGTGTATCACTCAGCTGTAGATCCTCAAATCATCTCTGAATGTGTGCCAGCACGGTCCTTCCTTCTGGAGGGTGGCTACTTTTGTTCCCTATGGTCCCTGTGTGTTGTAAAGTAGGCTCCAAGCTCACCCCTATGATGGACTACATTCTCAATACAAATTAGAATACAATCTCTGGTTTAGTTTACTAATTTGTATTGAGATTGTAGTCTATCACGGGAGTGAGCTTGGAGCCGTGGCTACTTTACAACGCACACAGGGACCATAGGGAACAAAAGTAGCCAGAAAGAAGGACAGTGTCAGCACAAAATCAGAGATGATGTGAGGATCTACAACCAAGTGATGCACGAAGAAGCTACATTTTTGTTAACAGTTCAGGTACTTGAGTGCATTTCTAAGATTTAATTCCCGAGTTTAGTGTCATTTTAAGCCCATAGAACTATCGAGGTCAACAACAGTATATGGTAAACGTTAAGGTTGAATTCACGCTGTTGCACTCGCGTTAACACACCTGTTAACATGGGTTGCGTAAAGGCAGCCTGTTCATGTGAATAGGCTGCTTAATGCAGCAAAACACACCAAGAAAGGTGCATGAACTATATTTGGTAATGCATTTGCGTTGCAATGCTGGTGTGTTGGTACGGTGCTTTCAAGGTGTAATTAATAATTAATGCACCACAGTGCACCAACATATATAACACTACAACATAATAATGTGACCCTGGCCTCAGGAAAAGTTTAGACTTTATAGAGAGACAGACAGACATATATATGATTAGACAGATAGAAAGACAGACAGATGCGTGAATGTGAACAGTGGGTGCCAACAGACATAAGAGAGTGGTTAGCCTTCATCAGACTCCTTTATGGCACCTTCAATGGAGAAGGCAGAAGAAGCTGGAGTTGGATATATGTGTGTGTGTTTACATGGTTGCAGTCTTATTTGCTCATTACATATGCAAGCTCTGCTTCCTATTAGGTTGTGTTGCACAATTATTACACTTCAAAGCTCCTCCCCTGACTTCATAGTGCGAGTCAATAGTCAGCTCCGATTTAACTAAAAATGTTACATATCCCTTGTTTTACAAAAACAATTAACATTTATTAATTGAAAAGGAATACACATTTTAACAAAATTAATAATTAACACAACAATGCAAAAAATAATATATATATATATTATCTTTGTTTTGAAAATAAACAATATTGATGCCTGATAAAGGATTCCCAGAGCTCTGTGATCAAACCTAAAGTGGACCTTTACCCCCTTTGACTATAAATCACATCAGCATAGATCTCTGCATATTGATATAAACTAATCAAACTCATTAGCTAAACAAACATTTTTATTTTACTTACAATTTATTTTTTTCCACTTCTTGCTCCACTTTGGCACAAATTAGGTAATTGTGCGCAAGCTTTGCAACCTGGGAAGGTTACATTACCAGAGCATTGCTGGGAAATCTCATCTGTAAACTCATGAGATCTCAGGGAAAGGCATTTGCCTCCCCTGAGATGATGTGCATGGTCACATGTCCTAGTCACATGTGCCAGAGTTCCAGGAAGTAAAAGGGAGATCTAGTAACCTGCCCTTAGTTAAAATGGCCACTGTCAGAAGACTGGGGAAGAGAAATAAGTTATGCAAAAAAAAACGGCAATGATCTAGAAGTATCTGTTTGTAAATTGTCATTACTAAACATTTCTAAAGATGCCTTTGTTGTTATTTTGAAGATATTGGTAAAGTTCCTCTTTAAGGGACAGTACAGCAGATGATGATTACTTTGTGGCTCAGTATTTCTGACTAAAATTACCTACTGAACTCTCTTCTGAGGAAGGAATCACTCCTATAGTTCTGTAATGGGGAGCTTGAAAATTAAAATAGCTGAATATGTGAAACTGAGACAAGCAGAACACCACCTTCTGTTCTAAATGTACAAACCCACTATACATTCTTTTTGAAGGTAAGGGCTCTGGGGCATTACTACCTAGAGCAATGGTGGCGAACCTTGGCACTCCAGCTGTTTTGGAACTACAAGTAACATGAGGCATTGCAAGGATCTGACAGCCACAAGCATGACTCCCAGAGAAAGATGCATGTTGGGATTTGTAGTTTTGGCACAGCTGGAGTGCCAAGATTCGCCACCACTGACCTAGAGGGTCAA